GTGGGTTCGACCCTTGCCTTTTCACCTTATTACTACACTGACTCGTGCACTTGCGAGGACATTATATTTAAAATTGTCCATCAGTTTTCTTGCATTTGATTTTCTCAAATAATTTTTCTTGACATAATTTTTCTTTTGTTTAGTTTGTTTTCTTTGGCACCCATCATCAGGATGTTTTCCATACTGTTGAGGAGTGTAAATTTGTTTGCAAAAGCCTACATTCTTTTGTTTTAGTTCTTTTTGAATTTGAATATAAGTACATTTTTTCTTTAATTCACTAATAATGTGTTGAATTCTTATTCCTATATTGTCAAAAATATCATTGGCTTGTACCAATTTCCATGATTCATGGATTTCTTTACCTAATGGCCAGGGTAACTTGGTAAAAAAACCTTTCTCCTAATTCTGGAGAAAAATAATTTCCTGAAATATTTACTAGAGAATAAAAGTCTTGGAGGAATTCTATTACATGATTCCAATCAAATAATTGAATTTGTTCCAAGTCTCTCATAGCTTCTGCTTGTCTAATTGTTAGTCCAGTGTTGGCATCTCTGCCTGTGATAATTCTGTGTATCAAATAAGCAAAATTATGTATATTGCTCCCTTGAGTAATTAATTCTGCTAATTTGTCTGGAAAATTTGTTTTAAAAGCTTTCCATGCAGCCATAACAATATCTCCCAGATAATTTTCAGCAATTTTGATCATTTCATCACCTTCTGTGATATTGAAATGTCTACTTTCAAAGTCTCTAATCATCATGGCAGTCCATTGCTCTAAATAATTATCCAATAATTGTGGATGAATATTAGCAATGTTTAAAATTACAGGATCTTTTTCCAATATTTGAATTTCATGAGGAGTTCTTTTTCCCAAAGTTCTCCTATTAGGATTATTTTGGTTGTAAATTGTGACAGGTAGTTTAGGAGGATGTCCTACTGGGTAATCCATCTGTTCAGGAGTAGCAGATGGATAATATGAAGATGTGGCAGTGTTTTGATTTGTACAAGTTTCTGCTGTATTCATAATTTTTTTTTTGAATTTTCTTTTAGACTCATGTCTTTTTCTTCTTCAATTTTTTCAAAGTCTTGTTTTAATTTGTGGATATCATTTAGATATTTTTCCAGTAAATTATATTTTTCTGAATTTCTCATTTCCAATTCTTGGTTTAATTCTTCCATAATTAATTCATCGTTTTTTATTTTTTGAAATTCTTCTAATATGAGTGCTCCTGAAATTTTTGAATCCATAATCTATTCTTCTTCTGGATCTTGTTGATTAGAGTTTTCATAATTTTTGAATCTTAATAATAAAGATCCATTTTCATTGGTATAAGTTACTACCTCTGTTGGCTTTAGAGTCTCAATTTCAGTGATTAAGTTTTCAATTTTCCATTCTTCTCCTGCTAAAAGAGAAGAAGAAACTGGTTCTGGTCCAAAAAATTTGATTCCTTTAGAGACTCAATTGTCTTAATTATGTTATCAATTTTAATTTTAAATCTTGGGCAAACTTGTGTGGATAATCTTCCCATCAAGATTACGTCCAACACAATATTTGATCCTTTAAAATTTCCAAATCCTTGTTTGGACTTGAATTTTTATATACTTAATGTCTTTTAAGGCAATAGTATAATTTGGACATAAATAATGAATTCCAATATTATTATTCATGTCTACTTCTATTACCCCAATAACTTGTTTATTTAGTGAGGATTGATTTCTAGTATCTAAAACAACAACTAAGACTTTTGTCCCGCTTTGTTTCATTACTAGTCCTCTGACTCCAATTGTAATTAATCCTATATGTATATAATTTAAGTTTTTGGAAGAAATTTGATTTATACTTTCATTTGTTAATAATCCGAATGTTTCAGTCCTACCTTCTGGTAGTTCTAACATTTCGGATCTATGTGTTCTAATTAAACTGGAATTATTTTCTAAAACTCCAGTTCTGTATAACATATTTAATTTGGTCTTAATGTATTAATGTAATCATTTGACATAATTTCTAAGTCCCATTCCAATTTATAAGAACTTTTGTTTGAGTTTAATCTTAAAAGTCTGTTTAAATAAGAGAAACGGTTGATTTGGTTTTTTTTTTTTTTTTTAACTGTGCATTTATTTCATCTAAATCAAGCGTCTACAAGTATACGCCATAGCCCCGAAAGTGGACTATGGCTCAAAGAAAGTCTAGGCCTTTTCGGCCACCTCAACAAAACAAACTATATATATACAATGGGGCGGTCTAAAAGTGACCACCCCACATAAAAGAAGAAAAGAGCTCCCAGCTCATCAACTAGTGCAATCAAAACTCAAGGCCCAAAGGCTAACTCATCGAAGGGATCACCGGGTAGATTCTTGCCTTAATGACTCAAGCCTCTCCAAGCCTTCCCTTTCTTGATCTAAAATAGGCTCCCCGTCCCACACAAGTGATGGGAACGATGCCTAAGCTCTAGGATCCAATCTATAACCCGATAACCTTAAGTCAAAGACCCATTCCCACCGGCACGGCGTACCGTGTTTTAGCCCGAGGGAACTTTGCGGGTCCCGGCTTAAGCGATAGCTCTCACCTCGTCCACCCTCATGCCCAAGTCCACCCCCCTCAGCATAGCGTACTATGTTTTACCCGGGAGGGCTTTTGAGGTCCCGACATGAGCAATGGATCCCTCCCCACCACCCTTAGGCCCAAGGTCAACTCCCACGGCACGGCGCACCGTGTTTTAAGTCCGGGGAGCCTTTATGATCCCGACCTAAGCAATGGTTTCATCCAACTCTCCCCATTCCCTTTCCATTTTCCATTCTTTCCCTTTATCATATTTTAAGAAATCACCTTATCCCTCCCTCAGTGTCTAGTTTGGTTTAATGTGCTAATTCTAGAAGAACTAGGTTCTTCTGAAGTTAATGTTCTTGACCTTCCCGTTAAAGGATTCATTATTTGTTTACATTTTTCTTGACTTCTTCTAAATTGTATGTCAAAAAATTTTTAGTTTTGGGTTTAATTTGTGAAGAAATCTGAATATTTAAAAATTTTTTGGATAACAAATCTTTGGAATTATTTATCTCAATTAATTTTGGATTTTCAATTATTTATTTTTCTCTTATTACTAAGTCAAATTTTGTGTTAAAATTTTCAATTAATTTTAATAAATTTGAAATTTTCTTTTCTTGATGTTCCATCATAGTTTTTAAATAATCAATTTGTTTTAAAATTATTCCATTAGACTGATTCATATTAACAGATTAATTTTGCTATACAATTTTCAATTTCTTCTAAAATTTCTTTGTGAGATTCATAAGTTTTCTTTTATAAAAAGGGGAATTTGGATCATAATTTTTCCCTTCAGTGTCTAACCATTTTTTAGATTCTAATGCTCTAGTTTTATAAAAATTTTGGTAATATTTTAAATGTGAAATTTTTTCAGAAAAATTCATGCCGAAATTTCTGTAATATAACTTTTCATTTCAAGAATTTTCTTAAGTGTAAAATCGTAATTATTATAAGACTTCCCAATTTTGTAAATGAATATATATATATATATATATATATATATATATATATATATATATATATATATATATATATATATATATATATATATATATATATATATAGAGAGAGAGAGAGAGAGAGGCGAGTTCAGGTGCGGCAGTGTCTTACGGTGCGGCGATTTCTTACGGTGCAGCAACACCAATAGTTCAACAAATATGCATCATCAACGTTAGGAAAATACACCACACTAAACAGAGTAAACAAAGCCCTGCATCACCAAACACACACCACATTAGGTGTGAGTAAAAACACCATACACTGTTCGGAAATACACCATTGGAGGTGGTGAGTTATATGGTATATTTTTTTGAGTCTGTTGTGCATTTTGTGATGTTTTATTGCATTTCATTGTGGTGTGTTTTTATTACACTGTTGGTGCATATTGTTAACACTGTTGGTGTATTCTGGAATTCCGCCGCACGGAAAGACCCCGCCGCATTTGAACTTTATTCCATATATATATATATATATATATATATATATATATATATATATAGAAGAGCGTTCATATGTGGCGGGGTCTTACGGTGCGGCGGTGCGGTCAAATTCCAGAATACACCAACAGTGTAATAAAAAAACACACCATATAACTCACCACCTCCAATGGTGTATTTCCGAACAGTGTATGGTGTTTTTACTCACACCTAATGGTGTGTGTTTGGTGATGCAGGGCTCTGTTTACTCTATTTTGTGTGGTGTATTTCCTAACGTTGATGGTGCATATTTGGTGAACTATTGGTGTTGCCGCACCGTAAGAAATAACCGCACCGTAAGACACTGCCGCACCTGAACCCGCCTCTCTCTCTCTCTCTCTCTCTCTCTATATATATATATATATATATATATATATATATATATATATATATATATATATATATATATATATATATATATATATATATACCCAAAAAACAAAACAAAACAAAACAAAACAAAAAAAAAAAAAAAAGGAAAAGACGCATGGAATGAAATGGCACATCGTAATATATTGATGAAGAAGATCATCGTTTTTTGTTTCTTTTAGAAAATTGTTGTACTATTGTAATATATGTTGTCGCTAGTCGTTACGAAATTGAACCAAAAATAAATCTATAAAACAAACACAGCAACAAGAACAAAGCAAAAATAATTTTTTATTTTAAAAAAAAAAAAAACACGCATGAAAAATATTGTTTTCTATAGTGACGTTGACGTAATTTTAGATTATAAATATAAAAAATAATTAATTTAAAAAAAAAAAAAGGTGAAAAATCACTTTCACAATTTTATACAATTTTTTTTATTCACAAAAAAATCCCCATCCCCTACTAAAAGTATGTTATGTGATCATAGTAAACAAAAAATCATAGTCAATTTAAAATCTTATTGTTACCAAGCTAATTGTCCAACTAACTTGATTGTGTTTGTCCCATGTTTATACAATTTTTTGTATCATATAATTGATAAGATGAAATTTTACATAAAAAGACTGAACAGTGCAAAAGGCAGATAAGATCTGTATCAAAAACACTAAAATTCACAAACACTTTGGTATGAGATTTTTAAGCAATCCACAAAACAAACATCATAAGACACTGTGTTTTTGTTCTTCATAGTTAAATGAACAAACCTCTAAGGTGGCAGGCATAAACAAAGGACTTAGAAATGGGAAACTGGGAACTTACTGCTAGGACACAAGTTATGTACTGTCATTACCTCTTTGGTTTATTCTGCATTATTTTCATCTACCTTCAGACTTCACCAGCTGCGAGAAAACCCGGCTCATGGAAACGCCAGAAAGATCGTCCAAGTTTGTGGCTTCGCCCTGGGTGGGAGAGGCTTCGATGTGGCTGAAGTTGTTGACTTGCGGGGAGAGGTCGCCGATGAGGTTTGTGCTGTTCTCGTCGGGATCGTTTTGGATGACAGCCTCTTGCAGTTGGAGGGCGTACTCGAGGTTCCACAGCACGTCTCCCATCGAGGGCCTGTCCACGCCAAAATCAGCTAAGCATTTCTCGCCTGTTTCTCCAAACTTTCTGAGGGAATCGGGCCTTATTCTCCCCACGAGTTTGGGGTCGATGATTTGTTCCAGCTGCCCTTTCTTTTGCCATTTCATTGCCCATTCGGCTAGGTTCACCATTTCCCTTGGCAGAGATGGATCTATCACGGGCCTAGCGCAGAGAACCTCAAACATAACCACACCAAACGAGTAGACATCTGATTTCTCTGTTAGTTGCTGGCGTCTGAAGTATTCGGGATCAAGGTACCCAAAGCTACCTTTCACCGCTGTGCTGACATGAGTTTGGTCGATCTCGGGGCCAGTCTTGGACAGCCCAAAGTCAGCAACTTTGGCCATTAAATTCTCGTCGAGTAATATGTTGGCAGACTTGACATCACGGTGTATAACTGCCTTGGCATACCCGGTATGCAGGTAGTGTAACCCTCGGGCTGCCCCAATGCATATCTCGAGCCGCTGTTTCCAGCTCAAACTAGGAAAATCAGAGCCATATAGATGACTCTTGAGGGTGCCATTCTCCATGTACTCGTAAACCAGAATCATCTCGTTTCTTTCATCACAGTACCCGATTAAGGACACCAAATGGCGGTGGCGGAACTGGGAGAGCATCTCGATTTCGGTTCTGAACTCCGCAAGGCCTTGTTGGGACTTGGGATTCCCCCTCTTCACAGCTACCTTAGTTCCATCGCTTAGTTCGCCCTTGTACACCTTCCCGAAACCGCCTACCCCAATAACCCAACTTTCATCAAAGCTGTTCGTTGCTTCCTGAACCGCTGCAAAGGGAATTCGGTAGCTGAGGTTCGAAGCAGCACTTATGGTAGTTCCATTCGAGTATTTGCTTCCCATCGTGTGGGAATTTCCATTCAGAGATAACGGTATCCATGTTTTCGACTGGCCAAGTAGTTCCTGTTTTCTCCTTCGGTGCATACAAAATAGAACAACAATCACAGCTAAAGCAACCGGTACCCCTACGCAAACTCCCACTATTACTCCAATCTTCTTCGAGCCCGAGCTGGAGGAAGAAGGCACAAAATCCGCCCCGCTGAGGCTGCCCCTAGAGTTGTTCATCTTCATGATTTCCAATCCATTTATAAAGGCATCAGCGAAAGCGCTCCTACGAGATGGGCCAACACTTAATCGAAGCTTGTTTCTATCAGTTGACACAACATAATCGAGGAAATATGCAGTTGACAAAAGGTTCCCAACAGCAGATCCTGGATCAAAATCTGGAGCAATATTCGACGAATCTATATAAATATTAAATAGCAGCTGATTAGGAGATGGACTCACTATGTCACAGAAGTGAAACCGGAGAAGATACTGGAACCCCGGATCCACGCTAAACTCCCAAGTGACGTTGAAATTGACAGAGGTTTCACCAGCATCCACCTTCATTTTAGTGCAGGTACCATACACGGTTGGTGGGGCGGAATCTCTAGTGGCTCCTTGTTTAGGATAAATCACGGACGGGATCTTGGACAGGCTCGTGGCAAGCTGTGGCCTTAACAAGAATCTCTGGTCATTAACCCAATTTCGCCCCAGTGTGTCATTACTCGGTCCCAAAGGCGATCCACCCATGTTCACCCTCGCAACTGTCTCGAGCGCCTGGGTGTACAGGCCACGGAACGCCCCAACCGGATTGATGGTTGTAGCATCCTCGGGTATAAGCTCATCAGGAACCGAGACAACCTCAATGGCATTCACATACGCGAACGAATTGCTGGAAGGTGCAAATGTCAACACGAGGTCCTTCGATGTTACATTCACAGAGAATTCCTTAAACGACACATTCCTAGGACTAAAATCACTAAGCAGAACATTATTCTGGGTGGAAACAGAGAAGCTAGCAGAACTCATGTTGAAGCTAGCATAAACAAAGGGGTAAAAATACAGGCGGATCCAGTGCCGGCCACCCTGGCTGATTGAAAACTTGAAGCTTGATGTTCCAGTAAAGATTCTAGCCGTCTGATAAAGCTGAGAATCATCAGAGACTGGAATTGAAGTTGAAGAATCATTAGCCAATATATCTTTTGGGGTTGAAAGAAATTTTGCTGCTGATTTATCACCCACAAAAACCCTACCACCCACTTTAACATCACCAGATGACCCACAGTTCAACAAGTAATTATCCACAGGATCAAACCCATAACCCAATCTTCCCAAGAACAACCCTGACAAAACCCAGATTATCATCAATTCAAAAGCCCAACAATTCTTCATCACAACAAAGTGAACAAACCAATCTGGAAAGGTAAAGGTGGGATCTCTGTCTGAGCTTAAATGGAGCTAAACATCACCCAAAAGATCTGTGCATCAAACTATCAACTACTTTGCCTCAAAATCAAAGTACCCATCAAAGATAACAGAGAAAGAAGGGGAAAGATGGCACCTTTACAACCAAATGAGCTGAAACAGAGACGCCACAGATTGAGAACAAGCCAAATCAGAAGAGATCTTCAGGGGATGACCGTAACGTAACGGAATAAAGATATCTTTTCTGCGCGTAACAGCAGAAATCTAGCAAAGCTCTGGCCGGTTAGAACACGAAAAAGTCATACCCGAATGCTGACAAATTATTACATACTTTAATTTTTCTTTTTTTATGAATAAATGAATACTCGTCGACAAAGTGGACTCGAGACTTCATTTAAATATGTGCAATGCATATAGCTATCATCAGGTCATATGTCAGAGTTTCAGGTTAGCTGACCTTTTATTTATGCCGAGAAATGGTGAAACGCCGTGCCGGCGAAGAAGAAGGCTAAACAGTGAAAATTTTCTTTTGTTTTATTTCCTTTAGACTCCCCAAAACTTTCTTGTTTTCTAAACTTGTAATTAATTTTTTTTTTCTAGCATAGACTTAACTTAATGGTTAAGTAGGCAGCATTTGAGAAAAAGATCAAGGTTCAAACATCGGCTGCGACGGTATGAAGATTATATTCAAAGTGGACAATTCTCTTATTCGCACCAACATTTGACCATGTCTGCTGAGTCATTGAGTCACCGTGATTTATATCCTTCCAAATATTCTGTCAAGTCGGGATGTGAGCAGTCCTTGGGGTTGAGAATTCAACCAGCATGAGAGAAGAAAATATATATTTTTTGTTATATCCTACAAATTAATACAATACCACATCTTAGATTTTTTTTTTTTTTAAAGAAATTAATATAGAAACTGTCAAATTAAATATTGAGTAAATATGACATAAGATTAAGAGCACCTTATGTAAAAAATGTAAACTAATATGGAGTATAATACGTGGATCTAAAATAATTAATTACTCTCCAGCAAGGAAAAATTCAATGCCAATTTTATAAATATTACACTTTTTTTATTACAAATTTTTAAACACAAAAAGTGTATTATGCAAAACTACAAAGTGTATTTAATGATATATAAAAATGTAATCGTTTTGAGTATACTTTTACATGTCATAGGATGTACTTATAGAATCACAAAATCTTGAGTACATTTTTACAAATTATTAACGTATTTTATAAATTTACGCAATGTACATCTGCACTTTTTACAAAAAAAAAAGTATGTTTTAACTAGTAAATGTAAAGAATAAAATTATTAAAATTCTTCAATAAACAATTAATTTCATAAATACAAATAATTTTTTTTTCAAATTGTATGTTATATAAAATATGATGGGGCTATAGCACACTAATTTTTCATATATAAATGTGTTAGGTATAGGGCAATTTCGGAAGTTTCTATTGTACTATGGATGAGTCATGAATCATGATTAATAAAGTTAGTGATTTCTTCATATTGTAAATAAAATGTAAAGGTCAATGTAAAATTATAACCAAGATGGAGGAGCAGAGTGAAATTATTGAAAGGTGCCGTATTTTAACGGTTGATGGGATAAACAATATGCAATGCATTTTATCATCTGCCATTGGTTATTTGGTTTGTGTGAAACTGTGAACAACGGAAAAAAGAAAGTATGGGAGTCTTCAGTTGTTTGGTGTTTTCATTTAAAACTCGAGAAATGTCAATAAAGGGTTTAGAGTGAGAGTTGTCTAGATAATTAATGACATAACTGTCCACTTTAAATACAATATTAAAAAAAAAAAAATGCTCTGAAATGGTAAAAAATATGTTAGTAAGTAAAAACATGATTCTCGTATCAGAAAGTTTCGAGTTTGATTATTGCTAACAATATCCCGTCAAGCTTGTTACATTGGGTCTTTCAAACTATGTTCACCCAATGCACATTCTCGAGTGGTAATATCAAATTTCTCTCCTCACCCGAAACAAAATACATGGAAGACTTACTCCGAGCGATAGGAGAGGTTCGATCTGTGCCACGAACATTGAAGGTTTATGTTTGAAATGAGTTCTTTGTGCGCAGAACTATTGAGTCTTAAAACTAAATTAGCTCGATTTGCCTATTCATGAGCTGAAAACAAATTCATAAGGTCAAGAATACAGTTCGACAAAGCTCGAAAACCTGCATTATAATAAAAAGGAAAAATGACACTTTTTTTTTCTGAGTTGTATGCTTATAGCACTTTTATCTAAGGTGTATCCACATTTGTCTCCTATGTTATGTTAAAAGTGACTGTTTTTCCGCTTTTATGTTAGATAGACATTTTTACCATTAAAATAAGTATTTCATTTATTTTTCTTCTCAAACAAATTACTACTTATATGTATGGATGATCACGGTTTGGTTCGAACCTAGCCGTACACTGTAGCAATCGAACCGAAATAGTAGAAACAGTTCTAGTTACGATTCAGAACCGGGAAAAATAAAATAAAATAATTGTTGAATTTATACCATTTAAAAAATAAGAAATTGAATTCACGAAAATAAATAAATAAATTTTGAACTAGCAGTTCAAACCGAAACTGGAACGTTCCTAAAAGGTTCCCGTTCCGATTTATCATTTCCATGAATCGTGAACTGGAACCGAACTAGCGGTTCAAACCAAATCCGGAACCTTCCTAAAAGGTTCCCCATTCCCATTATGATTTATCATTTTCCATAACTGTGAACTGGAACCGAATCGCAGTCATATCTACTTATATGTAGAATTAGAATAAATGTGAAAATAATCAAACACTATTTGTAAATAATAAATCAGTTCGATTTGGTTCTAGTTTCGATTTTGAACCGCTAATTCAAACTTTATTTATTTATTTATTTTTGTAAATTATATTTATTATTTTTAAAATAATCTAAATTCAACAATTATTTTATTTATTTTATTTCGGTTCTAAATCGTAACTAAATCCGTCCTTACTATTTCGATTCGATTGTTACAGTGCCCAGTTAGATTCAAATTAAAACATACTCATCCCTATATAAGCAATAATTTGTTGGAGAAAAAAATAAATGAAATACTTATTTTTAAAAGTAAAATGTATATTTAACAATAAAGGGAGAACGCCATTTTTAACCTAACTGAGAGCATAAATATGAATACATGAATAACTCATAAATAAAAAGTACTATAAACAATAAGCATAGAACTCAAGGGAAAAAAGGATATTTTCCCTAATAAAAAACAAATAGATGTTTGTTTGTCTACGGAAGGAAGTAATGGAGAGACGGACATGGACATGCACTTGGCTTTCATTACGCTCTGCACGCAATTTATTGAATGGGAAATGTCGTTTTCCATTCTTCACACCAACCCCAGATTTGCCACACGGCTTTCCACATAACCATTTCCAATAAAAAAGGTTTCCCCTAACCCAACGCCCTTTTCATTTGATTTTCCTTGATTAAGGCCCATCCGCAATGATTTTCCATTTATTTATTTATTTATTTTGTAAGTCCAACTCCTCTACAACACTTTAATATTCATCATGAGCATCCTTATCAGTTGAAGTTATTTCTAAGTTATTTGTGGATCTCAGTATCCACCTCATCCTCCACCATCTCATTCAATCACAAAAAACCCTTATCCACATCAGTTTTGAGTTATTTTTCAGTTTTTTATGGACCCACCATTTAACACACTATATTTTAATTATTTCTCTTAGCTACTGGGCCCACAAATATACCATACTTTGCAGGAAAAATATTTTTGAAATAACTCCTCCCCACATCAGCTATTAACTTTGGGGGGAGAAAATTCATGTAGAAATAACTCCTAAATAACTACTAGTGTGGATGCTCGAGATGAAAAATTCTATTTATATCACCTTTATTGCTACATCACCTTTTGATAATTATGTTAGCGGTAAATAGAATAACTTGCTATTTGCATCACCTTCATTAAAGTTAGCTAAAAATTATTATAATTAAAAATTATAAAATTATATATATATATATATATATATATATATATATATATATATATATATATATATATATATATATATATATATATATAGGGAAGGGCTCGCGTGCATTTAGTCCTTCTCGTAAAAAATGAGGTTGAATCTAAACCTTACGTAGCTCTTGATCCAACGAATAAGATTAACAACAAAATATAAACGCGAATTGCTCATTATGGGCATTTTGGTCCTTTTGATTATATTAAAAAAAAATTCAAAATTTCTGATCTTCTTCTTCTTTGCGCGTTTTCAAAATTCACCATTGATTCCTAATCTTCGATATTTCCTAATCTCAGTCGATTTTGCGGTCTCTATGAAATTGGCAATAAAATCTATTCTCTTCATCGTTCAATAGCTTATTCGTCAAGAGAAACCCTAAACCCAGCAACAACGTCAACCGATCAAGAATGGAAGAATTCGATCAAGGTATTATCCAAATTTTATCGCTTATTTAGAATTAATTTTATCTGCTCTTGAATTGGCCTCCTTCTTGTCTTAAATACACGCACATTAAACACTACATGCATGCAACTTAACAACTGAATTACTGACCTATCTTAATTATTCTGAGCCTAAAGACTTGCGCACGTAAATGATTAGGTAGCCGCATGTTAATTTTTACAAATGTGCATATTACAGTTTTCACTGATGCCGGTTAAGTACCCGCGTAAAATTTTAAACAACCCTTACGCATGTTATCTGTTAAACACACGCACGTTCAGTGCTTTCCAGACGCATGTTAATGTTAATCGACTCACTGACGCACGTTAAATAATGACATTTTAAAAAACACATATGCATGTTAACTATTACCCTGACGCACGTTAAGTATTCACACTACGCACGTTAACTGCTCACTTGCCGCACATACTCTTGTATTTTATAAACCTGACAGATTGGCAATGATCTGATTAAATTAACGCATATTAAGTATTCACACTACGCACGTAGAGGCTTATAACAACGCAATAATAACTTCATGTTTATATGTTACAGTTCCCAGTGACTTGCAATCTCCGAACAACCCCAGTTTGAGTCCCAGCAGCAGCAGCAATGGTTATACATTGACCATATCTCCTGGAATGACACAGTATTGGACTCCGCACTGTGAAGATGAAATCAAACCAGCGGTTGACATGATTTTTAAAACATTGGATGCTGGTATTGAATTCTACAATAATTATGCTGCCAAAGTCGGGTTTGACACGAGGTCTAGTTCCCTCATTAGAGCACGCGACGGGACGAAAACTCTAAAGCAAATTGTTTGTAATAGAGAGAGATTTAAGAATACGGGTGCTCAACATTGTCACTCAAAATCAAATGCAGATGCGGGGGAAGGTCCTTCGCGTTCAAAGCGGTGGAGTGTTTCAAACAGAACTGGTTGCAGAGCTAGGATTATCTTTAAGTACATTGGAGTAGCTGGGTACCAAGTTACGACATTTATTGAAAAACATAATCACAGCATGTCTTCGGTTCTTGCAAGGCAGTTCCTAAATGGAAATAGAAACATCTCCAGTGTTCATCAGATGTTTATACTAGATTGTGCTAAAGCAAATATTGGAGCAATCAAAATCACACGGTTTATACAGTCAGATTATGGGGGATTACTCTGAAGTTGGGGCAACTATAGTTGACTTTAAAAATGTCAGAAGGGATCTCAGAGCATACATATTGGGTGCTGATGCACAAATTCTCGTGCATAATCTTATTAAAAAACAAGAGATGTGCCCTGCATTTGCTTTTGACTACGAAGTTGATGAAGATGAGCAGATGAGTAGATTATTTTGGGCAGATCCAATGTCAAAATAAAATTTTGTTGCATTTGGAGATGTTGTCTCTTTTTATGCTACATATTCAACCAACCGGTATTATTCTATTCACATTCTTGCGTACGTTTCATTAATTAATTCACATTAAGCATTGCCTGATATGTTGAGTCACGTTAAGATTTAGACATGTTCACTGTTTACTTGAAAAGAATTGTAATATAAATAAGCGCACATTGTCGCTTTATACCACGCATCTTAAACACTAATGTCGCGCATATTAATGTGGAACATCCAGAATTAGACTTCAAGTACATATGTGTGCGAATTTAAAACTTAATGTGCGTTACTTTAATGCTATAAGTGCGCCAATTTGACACCTGTATACTGTGATGTCGCTTTTTGTCTTGTAGGTACGATCTGGTTTTTACACCCTTCACCGGAATTGATAACCATAAAAAATGTATAACATTTGGCGCTGGACTATTGTTGAATGAAGACATTGAGTCTTATGTTTGGCTCTTTGAAAAATTTAAAAAGGCAATGGGTATGGAACCAAAAATAATTGTCACTGATCAAGATCCAGCTATGAAAATGGCGATTCCAAGAGTTTTCAAGCAAGCCAGGCATCGTTATTGCATGTGGCACATTATGTGTAAAGTTGGGGAAAAGGTGGGTCCTACGTTGAACAAGAATGAGGAGTTCAAGAACAAACTGAACTCAATTGTTTGGACATCATCTTTGGAACCTAATGATTTTGAGAAACAGTGGAGAGAGCTCATGGAAAAGTACAACTTAGTCGAACACAATTGGTTTACAACTATGTTTGAGGCTAGAAACCATTGGATCCCAGCCTATTTTAGAGATGACTTTATGGGGGGTCTACTCAGGACAACGTCTCGTTCCGAAAGTGAGAACTACACGTATAGCCGTTTTACTGGCCCACAGTCTAGCCTAGTTGAATTCATGATGAACTTTGGCAGTGCTCTTAAATCACAACGTAACACTAAAGCAAAGCTCAACAGTGACAATGAAGGCTACAATCCAGATATGAAGACGCCTCTGGGGATCGAAAAACACGCTTCAATCGTCTACACCATTACTGTTTTCTATCAAGTTCAGGAAGAAATATGTGCCTCCTGTTTATGGTGTTGAGTGTTAGAGGATGGTGGAATGTTACACTATGATATTATGGATGGAAAGAACAAAATATTTAGTGTGGTGCACAATGTAAATGACCATGAGGCCACATGCAGTTGCAAGATGTTTGAGATGGTTGGACTGTTGTGTAGACACATATTTGTGGTCTTTAGAGACCTTGAAAAGATACCTCTGAAGTATGTGGTTAATCGGTGGACTAAGGATGCATCTTTAAAGGCTACATTTGAAATAGATGGTGTCATTTATGATCAGAATGGACCAAAGGATGAAAAGAAGATGTTGCTGAACAAACTGTGGTCTGATGTACACTGTTGTATTGATCTGGTAGGTTCAAACATGGAGCAATTGGCTGCATTTTCGCAAGTGATTAATGAACAGAAACAGTTGCTAATGTCAGGAAAGGAAAAGTTATCCCCTCAGCACAGCAGGAAGACTGTTATAGAATCATTTTGTGGATCAACAGAGATTTCAGAGATCAATATACTTCCACCGAAACATGCAAAGAACAAGGGCAGTGGAAAACGTATCAAAAGCAGCAAGGAGTTGGCAATGGAAAAAGAAAAGGGCAGGAGGTGCAATTTTTGTGGTGTTAGAGGAGATCAACATGACACCAGGACTTGCCCACTTAACCCCAAAAATAAGGACAAACAAAATGGTAAGAAAAAGGCATAGCAGTCTATTTTTACAACGCCTTTACAGTTGAGAATGAAAAGAATAGCAAATATGAAACACAAATACTTAGTTAACTCATTTTAGAATGCTTTTACAGTTGAGATACTTGAATTTAAAGTTCAGCAATTGCTAGTTTTTGTTTTTATCATTGGTTTGTGTTTAACAATCACTGCTATTAGCTTAAACGGCGTTTCATTAATACTTTACCTGCGTGCAGTTAATTCTTAATATGCGTTGATTACACTTTTAACATGTGCAACATTAAGGCTTAATATGCATAATACGGAAACAGAATGTGCGTTGGTTTATGTATAAAAACTTTGGTCCGTGGTAAATGCCAAAGTCTTTACAAGCGTTGATTAACGTTTAACTTACGCGACATTAAAGCTTAAGATGCGTAATCTGGACAAAGACAATATTTAACACTTTCTTTTTCTTTATTTATTAGTTAATTTAAGATGCGTTAAAAATTAGTCTAATATGCGCGATTGCAAAACTTAAAGTGCGTTTGTTTGATTATGAAATAATTTGCAGATAAAATAGCACATACATAATCGAATTTTTTTTTGTTGTTGTAAACCACAATGTGGTCCGCACAAGTTATCATGGAATCCTCCCGTGGTAAACCCCTGTTGGCTTAAATACATGATCGATTTAGTACTTTATGATTTGAATTTAACATGCGCGACATATCAATTTAAAATGCGTAATATGGGAACACAATGAGCGTTGGTTTCTATATTAATAATAATAATTTACACTCTAATATGTTAGTATTTGTAAACGTAAATACACATTGAAGCAAAACCAAACACATTCAGTGCGTGTTTTCAAGTACTTTGAAGATATTTCTTCTAGTTCCGGCAGCATCCGACACGCTGCCAGCCTGCCACAAGGCTCAACTCTCAGCCTTGGATGATGTTTGGTTGCAGCATGATGAACTTGAAGCTGCTAATGACGAATGTTGTTTCGGGTTTAGAATGTGTTGTTTTTGTAGTTAGTTACAATCACTACAAGCTGGAGGGCGAGGAAATGAAAAGGACATAGAAGATGAGGAATAAATGAAGAGGGTTCTTCTGTACGTGCGGAAACGTGAGAGATAGCCATTTCAATAACCTGATGCTAAGTTGTGTGTTGTTCCTTCTAATTTATAGGTGAATAACTTAGTCACATGCACTGATTTGAGATTTCAATGTTGCGTGATTTACAGACACATTAGATTTTTTAAGATTTCCTTTAATGGGTGCGTTTTTTAAGGCAATGAATGACCATTCAAGTTATCCGTTTCCCCAACTACAAATGCCTTAAAGTTCTGACATCAAATATCTTTGAATATTACTTAAAGATGGATTGGTAGAAAAGACTTAATGTGCTTTGCTTTGCTCTGTTACATGCGCGAACTACAAGAACAATATGCGTGTAAATATACATTTAATTAAATTGCATCGAAATAAGAGATTTTTAGAAGCCAAAAGTTTAAAGTGCGTCGGAAAACCAATTAAACTGCGCGAAATATCACTTTAAGATGCGTTTATTTAAGTCCTAATGTGCATGGATTCAACTACCAAATGCCATTACATTTGTTCACCTTACGAAAACTAAATATTTAAGGGCATTTGATTCTCATCAGTTTATTCATTGTATAAACAATGTTTAATAGTTGTTTTTCCAAATGAAAACTTACATACCCAAAATCAATTCACTTTAAATGGTCACCCACGCACCTTGACCTATTCATCCACGCATCTTAAAATCTTTAGCTACGCATATAATAGTTTATCTAACGCACCTTGGAGATATTATTTGCATCAAGCGAATTCGAAAACCATCAAAGAAGTGATGATAAATGAACTGTAAGTCTTTAGTGGGGAATCAATCCCACACATAATCGACATTTTCAAAGACTATTGTCATTTGTCCAGTGCGCTCATCCGCTCGTTTCATTATACTCAACACTTGTAGACCCGAAAGAAAAACAATTCTCCAGATTAAAAAAAGAATATATTTAACGTGCGCTACATTCATGCGTAATATGTGTAACACTTTAACAGACCGTGCTTTTTTGTTTATGCGTAAAAACTTTGATCGATCGTGAATGCAAACTGCTTTACCTGCGTTTATTAACATTTAACTTGCGCGACGATAAAGCTTAATAATCGTAAATTGGAAAAAGACCATACTCACCCGTTCATTATTAAACAAAAAAATAAAAAAATCAAGTCTTTAGAGGGGTTCAATCCTAGACGAAATCAATATAATCAAAAACTTCTACCATCTCGCCAATGGACTCATCCATTACTTTAATTATATAAAAAAATATTAAACAACAATTCTTGAAAATTAAAAGCAAACAAAAAAAAAAGAATATATTTAAAATGCAATACGTACGCTTAAGATGCACAATACGACAATAAAATGTGCGTTGCTTTATGTATTAAAACTTTAGTCCGTGGCAAATACAAAAAAGCTTAACATGCGCAATACAGTAACATAATGTGCATTAGAAAATACGTAAGTCTGGGTGTTTTTTTCCGGACATAGTAATATGTGTAGAATTTGGTCTTAATGTGCGTTTTTTAATAACTTATATTTCCTTGAAAAAAGTCTTAATGTGCTTGAATTTTTCTATTAAATTATCATGTAACACGAAACTATTAAGATCCCAAATCACATAAAGTCCATTGATTTTTGTCTAATGGTACTCGAATTTGCTAGTTTATTTAACCATTATCAAAAACAACCCAAAAAAAATGAATAAAATGCAAAAAGATTTATTATTTACATTGAAATAATTTACACTTTGAACTGCTACTACTACTACTATAACTATAATAATAATAATAATAATAATAATAATAATAATAATAATAATAATAATAATAATAATAATAATAATAATAATAACAACAACAACAACAACAGTAATAATAATGAAGCGGACATGAGTGCTTATTTTTAATTAAAAAAAAAAACCACAGGCAAACGACAGGATCCGTCTATACCTTTTGGAGATATTCCTTTTGGTTAAGCCTGCATTAAGGTACCAAAAGATATATCTCCAAAAGGAGTAGAGGATCCTGCCATATGTCTGGGCTAAAACAACACATTCTAAACCTAGAAAGATCGACTTCTATGAATCTAAAATCTAACTGATCCAGATGTATTGGACTGCCCCACATGTTATATTCAACTTACAGACAAACACACCTGGTTGATCTCTAAATTGAATATAACATACCCGACAGTCCAATACATCCAAATCAGTTAGCGTTTAGATCCACAAAAGAAGAACTTTTCAGGCTTAAAATGTGCTGCTTTAGATGAAAACAACGAGAACATGTGCTCTACTCAAATGAGGTCGGCTTCACTCATAGTTCCTTTACATCCTCGTATAAACTTCCAGGGTTGTGGTATTGTATTTGATCCATGGGATGTTTAGAATGTGTTGTTATTGTAATCAACTACATTGACAAACAAGTAGAAGGAGGGCGAGTATGATGAGGATGGGTAAACATCGTGATGAATGTGAAGAAAATGACGACGAATAAATGATGGTCTTTAAAACTCAAATGACACCGTTTCAATATATATGTTGTATGGTAAGGTGATACTCCACTTTTATAGGCGAATAACTTGGTAAAATTAACCGATTGGAGAAATTAAATGTTGACCGTTCCGTGAACTTAAAAATAACTTGACGTTCACACTTAACGTAGAGGGTGCGTGCGTTAGTTAAGATTTTAATGTACGTGAATGAGTGCGTTTTTTTAGCGGTTGAGTTAAATATGAATTGATTATTCGACGCCTAATAAAACACAACCATTGAAGAATCCGTTTTCTATTATGATAAAGGGTATTATTGTTCAAATAATTTTTATTTTTTTTCCGTTTTTAATTTATCTTTGATATATTGAAATATTTTTCTTCCATTTTTAAATCCCTTTCCATTGTTAGAATGCGTATGTATGTATAACTTAATATATGGAGCAAAATAATTTAAAATGCGTCTATTAATATGACAATGTGCGATGGGGTATTCTTAAAAGAATATGCGTCAATTTATTCACTAATATGCGCACATCAACACGTTATTATGCGTGTCTTTCATTCTTAATGTCCATGAGATTGTATACTCACTGACTTAGACCCAATAAAAAAAGAAAAACAAAAAAAAAATTCAATGGGTGCATTTTTTAAGGATTGAATGACCAGTCAACTTTAAAAGATTCCCATTATGGGAAATATAAAAATTGCTGACATCAAAATTGACTTGTCACTTATTTCTAATACCAAGTACATATCTAACGGACCTTATTGCTCTAATATGCGTTACATCTACACTTAACATGCGTGTACGTGTATGTATAACTTAAAATATATGGAGCAAAATAATTTAAAATGCGTCTATTAATATTACAATGTGCGTTGGGGTATTCTTAAAAGAATATGCGTCAATTTATTCATTAGTATGCGCACATTGATACTTTATTATTCGTGTATTTCAGTCTAAATATGCATGAGATTGTATACTCACTGACTTAGACCCAATAAAAAAAAACTTGAATGGGTGCGTTTTTTTATAAGTTGAATAACCATTCAACTTTAACAGATTTCCTTTATGGGAAATGAAAAAATTGCTGACAATGAAATAGACTTGTCACTTATTTTAAAGGTAAGTCATATGTCTATCTCGTTGTCAGAACCATATGTAATTTTATTTTATTTTTTTGAATAAAGAACAATATGTAATTTTAGAACACGTAACATGCACCCGTTCATAAGCCAGGAATATGTTGAAGAGTCTATTTAAAGAATGGATAATCCATCACACCTTCTCATCTCAAAGCAAGATGGATTCTATCACGATGTTTAATAAGTGTCCAGTGTTTAATGTTTATATAATATGAAGTTTATTATGGTGAAATTGGTCATTATCACGATGCTTAAATATGCGTTGATAAACCATTTAAATTGCGCAGCATTAAACCTTATGTGCGTTA